TTTTTTTTTTTTTTTTTTTTTTTTTTTAATTTGAGAAAGAGGACCATCTAGTGGTTAAGGCCAAAATTATCATCTCATTTGCAATCATTTTTGAGCAAGGAATGAACCCCCCTATGTTTCAAATGAAAGCATGTGTATCTTGAAATCTGACCATATACACAAGCTTATCCAAACTACACATAACCTTCYCTCTTGAGTTAGGCTGGATATCCAGCCATAAACACAATTTCCCAGTTTGCCAAGTCAGGCTTGGCATGGTTACAGCCACCTTCAAAACTATTATGGTGATGGGAGAAGGAGGATTTCTTCTGACACTTTTGCTACTCTTCCCTGATAGAAAGCTACCAGGCAGCTTTCTGCACAGAGGTTTGGGACATGCAGATTCCAAGTGGAGCTGGGTATTGTAGGCAGAGTCATGAAGTGGGAGCAGGGAAGATTAAAGTTCAAGAAAAAGAACCAAGGTTGGAAGTATTTCTGCATATCTCTCAGGGATCCAGCACTTTGATGTTGTTTTAGAATGCCAACATTAGGCCAGCAAATGCAGCTTCTGGCAATGGAGTGGAGAGTAGCATTTGTGTATATAGTTGCACTACTGGAATGCAGGATGGAAATTAGTGCTGCTACATGCCATTTGCACATTTCATGCACAATCGCTTTGCCAGGCAACTTAAACTGCTCTTTAAACACCGTGTGCCTCAAGCAGTCACTGGGTTTTCAGGCCAGCAGAGAACAAGTCAGTGTACAATCCTGGTATTTTCTGGTAAGGCGGGCTGCAGGACCAGGTATAGGAGATCTGCCTACAGCAGCAAGCCCTAATTAAATTAAATTTTGGCTTTGTAAAAGCTCCTAAGGTATGAAACTTCAAMTATTTGGGTGCTGCACCTGAAAATAATAGTAGTATATATTAGAAYTGTGTCTGTAGGAAGTAAGAAATAATGTTGTTCATTCTGGTTGTTACAGAGGGGCGGGTGTAGATAAAGGGTGGCCTTTTACATAAACACAATAAAGCACAGATATTATACAGAGTCCTAAACTAAAGCACAGGTTTAGTCCTACTGCATGGGTGACTTTTCTTCCTGATGCTAGGCTTTCTTGTGGCATTCCCAGACCATTTTTTCAATACAGCAATTCTCTGGAAGAACTGGAATTCTCTGGAATTCTCCCACTGGTCTGCATTACCATTGCTCCTCAAGGGCATCTGAAGTGCTGCTGAGAATACCCAGTGATGAAGGTGAGGTTGTGCACTAGRGTGACATTTTTTACAAAAGTATACTTTTACCGCTTCGGTATGTCATATTTATCATCTCTATGCCAGTGAGCTCCCGGTTTTAATCCCTGCAGCTTATCCAGTCATAAATAACCTCTAATGATTCACATACAGCTTGACAGATGAAATAAATACAATAAAAGACAAGCGAGGAGATCTCTAATTGCTATTCATAACCAGGTCTTGCAACTATTACATTTAAATAGCTTGAAGCCACGATGAAGTTAATTAAAGATGATGTTCTTTTCTGGCACTATAGTTGGCTGGTTATACATTAGTCATGGAAAGACATGAGTCTCATTCCAAAATATTGCTTAAACCCTGATGTCTAATATTAGTGAATGAGATTAACTCCAGCCTCAGCTCTAGGATGATCTGAAATTGAACAGTTTTTAAAATTTGAAATTTAACAGTTAAACAACATCTCTTACCTCCACTTAGGTTTTAAACCTATTTTAATGTTTCTACCTCTTTTGATTGCTGCTGGGCCATGTCTGCTTTGCCCATCTTTCTTCAGTCTGGTGTGACTGGAAGCCCTCACAACCAGGACTTTCACAGGTCTGTTGCCACAAGGGACTGCTCAGATCAAAGGCCACTGTCCCGTGGAGGGGCAATAGCAGAAAAAACATCTCCAGCAGGATGCCACCTGCCTCTGCGTACAGACACCAAAGTTGGTGCAGTGTGTTGGCACAGACAGGATTTGTGTCAGACCTCAGTGACAGATGTGACATCGAGGCCTGCAACTCCATCTTGAGGGAGACAGCACAGGGAGAGCTCTTTGCATTGACACAGCCTCACAGAGGCCCCATCAAATCGCATGGACATTGCGGAAGGCTGCCAAGAGAACAATGAGAGTGTTGGCTACCACCTTTATTTTAATTGCTGCCCATGCACGCCAAGCTGTGCAGTTGGGGCTGTTTCCATTCCCTCACCAGTTGCCAGAACTATACATTGTTGTTTTGTTTTAAGGATAACAAAGCCACATTTTCTTGGCTTATAAAGGAGCTTTGTTGCTTCCCAGACATCCAATCTCATTTGTCTGTAAACKGTAGGATGAATTCCAAAGATGCCCAATGAGCCCATGGGACTAGATCAATCCTGCAGTGAGAATTAGAAGTGTAAAACTATTTTAAATGCATGAAGATTCAGAGTATGCACAAGAACTGACACAACAACTCCAACACTCAGCTAAACCTGCAGACTCAGACTTGGGCTTTGTGTTCAAAGACTCACAGTTCCTCTCACCYATGGCCAGGCCTGTCCTCAGCCTTGTCCTCCTCCATTGTTTCAGCACAACTGTTCCAGCATTAMGCCAGTGCTGTGGATCTCAGGCTTTAACCTTTGAGTTTTATTTCTTAACTCAAATCAGTTTGCTGATCTGGCTCGTCCCAGTGCCCCACTGACACTGGTAACTGGTGCAGCCAAGGTAACAAAAAACAGCATCTGGAAGAAAAAAAAAGGGTGAAGGACATGATTTGCTATTGGGAAAAAGTTTCATGGGATGGTGATGGGAGAGCAAAAGATACAAGAAAATCTTGCAGAGACATAGAATTAGCAAAAATATATCCGAGCCAAAAATTATTCACATTATTAGTAATATAAGTTTTCTGAGAGAGATGCTACTGATATCCTGGAATCATGTCCCTGAGGACAGGTGTCCTGAGCTTCTTCAGCCTTCCCAGAAGGTTTCTCAGTGTTCTAGCTCTGCATCCTTAATCCAGACATTGTCCAAATTGTGGTCACAAGCTTTTGCCCCATTCCTCCCATTACTGCCCCAACAGTGCCTTTTGCAGCTGCTTGGGCACAAGTTAAACAACCCTCCTTTACAGTCCACAGGTTTAATCAATGATAGTAGCAAAGGGTAAGCAGAAGTTTTGTACTATGACAAATGGCCTTGCTTTCCCTGTGGGAAAAAGAAAAGCCTCCTTGTGAAGTGCCAGGACCAGAAACTTTCTTAGACCACTGCACACCAGCATTCATAAAACTGCTGCAGTGCTGATCCAGACCTTAGATTGCAGAAAAGAAATATCCCTTTGACATGAGAGGACTGAAGTTTAGCATAAAAGCCAAAAAGGGAAAAAAAACTAAATGAGAAGTACAGGTTCTGCCACTTCTGCCAGTGGAATTAGGTTATGGTACATCTGCAAAGCCATTAATCACCTCATGAGGGCTGGCAAGCTTTGTAACACCTGCACAYCTTTTTAAGGGCAAACTTTTGCAATTGCAGCCCTACATTGCTGATGTCCTCCCGAAACAGGGATGGCCAGTGGGCGACTGAAGCCATGGTGGCCCCAAGGGACTGGGGAACAGCAGCTGCACCCACCTGAGAGGCACACAGAATCACAGGATAGTTATGGCTGGACTGRACTCTGGAGATCATCTGGTCCARYCCTCCTGCCAAGGCAGGGTCACCTMGAGCAGGTGACACAGGAAYGTGTCCAGGTGTGTTGGGAATGTCTCCAGAGATGGAGACTCCATGACCACCCTGGGCAGCCTCTTCCAGAGCTCTGCCACCCTCAAAGTAAAGTTCTTCCTCATGCTGATGTGAAACATCTCGCGTCCCCACCTCACGCCCAAATGTAGACACAGGCAGTTTGGGGCGTGCTAACTGCCTCCCTCACCACACTCAGCGTTTAAAGCGGCATTTTGTCCAGCGAGGGAGGCCTGAGGGAAGGAGCTTCCAACATATTTTARTGGGGAAGGGAAAGCACTCTCCCAGTTCATGTAATTCCCACAAAGTAAAACACCCAAGCTCAAAACYAAGAAGGAAGATTCTCACTTCACAACAAATTATTATATTCAGGGTATGCTCTTGATGTTCAATCCCAGTTTAAAAACACACTGTTACCACCAGAGTGCTTTTTTTTCTACAACTATATTCTCATTACACCCATACAGACTATGCCAAAATCTTTTGATATTTAGGTCAGGGGTTTTTTTTTTCTACTTTCACTATCTCCGAGCGCGGAGAGACCTCGGTCGCGGGTGGGGTTCGRTGGCCTCAGAGCCGCTGAGGGCGTCACGCGCGGGACGCCATTTTGTGCGGCGCGCGGCGGGCGGGCGGCGCCCGTTGGCGGTGCCAGGGGTGGTGCGGCCGAGGGGCGGGGGGTCCCTCCCTTCACGTTTTATTTTCCTTTGCGCCTCCTCCTCCTCTTACTCCTTCCTCTCGCTCCTGCGCTCCCTTTCGGGTTCGCTTCCCCGCGTCCCTCTGCTTTTGTTACCCCTCCCCTCGCTCCCTCCCGCTCCCCGCCCCCGCGTGGCACTGCGGAGCCGGAGACGTGACCCGAGCGGACTCGCTTCCCCGCAGCTCCAGCCTCTCCCCGCAGAGTCGCATGTCCTCGATCCAGAACCTCCAATCCTTCGGTAAGAGCCGCCACCCCCGCAGTCATCCCCTCGGCAAACCCACCCATCGCCCCCGGCCCCTTGGTCCTGCCCCGGCCGCCTCGYCCTTCCTCCGCGTTCGCCAGGGCCGCGGGCCCCCCGCCCCTGCGGTGACATTGAGGGGGTGTCGCCGTCGCCGCGTTGCTCCGTGAGGCAGCGCCGGTGGCTCGTCCTTGTCCTCCGCGCCGCCGGCCTCGGGACGTGCTCGGTGTGTGCGGCGGRGAGACCTCGGGAGGGAGGCTCAGCCCCTCGCCGCTCCCGTAGGACGTGCTGCCATGTTCTCTGCTCTGACACCCCGTGTTAAGGGTTCGGATCCTCTGCTAAGGAAATAATTTCATCAGTTACAGTTGGTTTGCTGCCTTCTCTTGTCCGCAGCAATGTCCCAAAACAAGCCCTGCGGAGATTATTGTTTCTATAGAGTGAGCTACGCAGGTGGCAGATCATTTCTCTCCTGTCAGAGGGAAGTTTAACCGTGCCGGGCCAGCGTTCTCTCTTATCTATAAGCAGCAGAAGTGAGCAAATTAGCACTTTGTACAATAATGTCAGGCTTTTGATCGCAGCTTTGACTTTAATCTACTGGATTTATAAGCCAGGTGAGAAGGTTACGTTCAGTCACGATTTCGGAGCTCACCCTGTGCTTAAGGTAGGTGCCGCCCAGAGGATTTGTTTGAAGAGATCCGATGTTGACACCTACAGTGCTTGCTTATCTCCAGCCTAGAGCCCTAAACTCTGCCAAGTTATCTTGGCTTATCTCCAGCCTAGAGTCCTAAACTGCCAAGTGATCCTCATGCCCAAGTCCTCTTTCTTTCACTTTTTCTTTGACTAAAATTTTCTGTTAGTGTTTGCGCCACAAGTTGTGGGAGACAGTAAAATTCAGCATGGTTTAACAAATTCCATGGTAGAAGTTGAGCTAGTCAAGGTAACAAATGCTGTACTTCTTTCCTGTGGTAGTTGAATCCTCATTATGCTTTCAGTGCCTTTAATGCTYGAGTCATTCTTGTTTCTACAAGGATCTGTCAGTCTGCAGCTGAACTACTTCTTTTTATGTTTCTGCTGAAGTTTTACTCATTTGGGGCATTTCTTTCTAGTGTATGGCAAAATGTGATCRGTGTTTTTAGATCTCAGTTTTTGAAAGGAGGTTTGGGAAATTGTACCTTGCATGGCTATTGAACCTACATGGACAGTTAAATATCATTCTGATTAGTACAAAAAAATGACATGCGATTATTCTTAAAAAGTAAAGTACTTCGTGCTTCAGGGTTTATTTGRAGCTACTGATTAGGAGACTKGTAGAGCTGTAAAATTTCTTGATTRAGTGTTAYGTTTKTGTGGAGTACAGAGAATAAGAAGTGTTAACTCAGAACCCCCCTTCTTTCTAAATGTCTTTCTGTTTTATCTGTGCTAGATAAATGCTAAGCTTGGAAGAATTTGAGAACTGACCTTTCTTTAGTCAAAGCTAAATTCATTTTGTTACATTTCTTGACTAAAGCTGATGACTGGAGAAGTTCTGGTTTAYAGGCAGCCTCTGGCATCTGTTAGAGTTTATCTCTTTTTTTATTTCTTTCAGTATCCAAGAGTTGCATTCATGCCATAACATGTTGGTAGTGTGGTAGTTACCACAGTATGAGACTTCTGTTCAAGACCTGTAAGGGAATATGTGTTCCAGAGCTTTTTTATTTCTCTGTTTTTATCAGTTGATCTGGTAGAGATACCCATTACTTTATTTCACTTTTAACGTATGCGACTAAAACTTTTGTAGATTTGGTGTTCTCTCAGAGCCATGTTTTCGGTTTCAGAGCTTCAGGATTTACAGTAAACTGTAGCAGAAAATTGTTCATACCTGGGAAGACATGGAAGAAACTGGGTGTGTGGTAGGTGTGAGGACTGTCCTGAGTATGTAGTGTAACGAGATTTAATACAGTGGTAGAAAAAAGCACTCTGGTTTTAACAGTGTGTTCTTAAACAGGATTAAACATCAAGATTATACCCTGAATACAATAATAATTTGTTGTGAAGTGAGAATCTTCCTTCTTAGTTTTGAGGTGGCTGTTTTTCTTTGTGGGAATTACACGAATCTTTTTCTTCCTGCAGACCCCTTTGCTGATGCAACAAAGGGCGACGACTTACTCCCGGCGGGGACAGAGGATTACATTCATATAAGGATCCAGCAACGAAACGGAAGAAAGACACTAACAACTGTTCAGGGCATTGCAGATGATTATGACAAGAAGAAACTTGTGAAAGCCTTCAAAAAGGTAAACTTGTTGATTTGATTTGATTTGATTTGATTTGATAATAAGTATACGTAAAGAAATGAGATAGCTTTTAGTACTAAGTAGCAAAATGTTTATTTCACTTAATTCTTCTCAGTGCACATCACTTTCATATTCAAATCCTTTCCCTTTTTCAAAACAGCTATCAGTGTCTAGTGACACTGATTTTTGCTAARAAGTTGAACATTTTTATCTTACAAAGAAGTAAATAAAATAAATTCTGAATGTTTTGTTAACATTTCATAGATATATGGTTTTGTTGATGGGAAGAATAAAATCAGTTTGAAGTAGAGCTGCTTTTTATTCCTGCCTCTGTTACAGCTGGGTTCTGCTCAAAATAGAGGCGTTTAGTTTTGCCAGGATAAAAATACTTATTTTAAAATAGTGTAGAGTTGAAAGGCTGTGTCTTATGACTTTGTTTTTCATTCTTGCAATGACTGTTGACCATTTCCTTCTGCACAGTAGCTAATCCTGTCATTGCCTGAATTTACCGTCAGCAGTTTATTTTGTGTATGTATCAGCAGATAYGTTCCACTTGTTTTCTTTGCCTGGCTTGGCATCAAAATTTAGTAAGAAKCTTCTGAGATAAAGTTCTCCTGAAAAGACTGACTAAGCAAAATCATGATGTACAACAGATATCTTATAATATGAATGTTTCTYTCTAGAAATTTGCTTGTAATGGTACTGTGATTGAGCATCCTGAATACGGTGAAGTTATCCAGCTGCAGGGTGACCAGAGGAAGAACATTTGCCAATTCCTCTTGGAGGTGAGGGACAACAGATTAATATCTAAACCTCTCTGGAAGCAGTAGGGTGACAGGTGGTACTGATGCTAATTAACCAGYTGAAGATGGCCACTATAGTTCCTTTGTATTTTCAGCCAGAAAGTAAAATGACACTTGCAGAATGAGAGTAAGCCTTTGGTAAGAATCAAAGCACTGTAGAATGCCTTTGCCCTGTTACAACACACTGCTTGTTCTCTGGCAGTGCAACTTGAGCTCTGTGCTTGTAAAATCAAGTGTTCGATGCAGACCATAATCGTGAGACTGAAAACAYTGTAGAGGAAAGAGGCTTACTCTGATGCAAGTGATGATGCAGAGTTGTTACACTGTCAAAGCATAAGTCTTAGGATTATAGAACAAATCAGATGTCTGATAAGATTTTCTTTTCTTTCTTGTCTGATAAGATTTTCAATTCTTTTGCTTGGCCCAGAAACATTCTGTAAGCTAAAAAAAATGTTTCATTGAGTATATACACTGTATAGCAGTTACTTTAAACAAAGTCTAGGATTGCTGTAACTTGATACYGCTGTAATAGCCTAGGTATGTACGCTCTACTAAAGTATGTTATTTTTCTCCTTTAGATTGGCATTGTCAAGGAAGAACAACTGAAAGTTCATGGTTTCTAACATACCTGTACTCTTATGAAGAACCCTGCAGTATTGGTCTTACCTATCCTGGCTCTTCTGTGAAAAATGAATCTTGGCAGTGAATGGACTTCCCTGTTACCTGAACATAYACAATTTGATTCAGATTTGCATGACTGCATGAAACAGGTGGTGTGTAGTCTAGAAACACATAAGAAAACTTCAGTAAGATGGTAATGAAGACATTTGTGAACTTTARCACATTTCCAATGGAAATGTATTAGTGATGATTGTTCAGTTTAGTACTCTCCATCTGAGTTAAGTGTGTGAGTTTTATTCAAATAGTGTGTGTTGTTGCTTAAAAATAAAAGTTTATTCATATAATTTCTGGGGTATTTGAAATGCTTTAGCCTAACTTTTAAACTAGTAATGCAGCTTTGCTGAAGAATGGCTGAACTGCTTTGTGGCAAGTGTAGCTCACTGCTGATTGAAGAAATTGGAAAATCTACGTGATTAAGTACTAGCTGATTAATCAGTAGATTAGCTTGATATGATCTTACCCTGTAGCTGTAAGACTAGAGCTTTATAGCTTATAGTGTAGATGTCCCTTAGTAGCAGCATAATAAGATCAATTGTTTGCTGTGTAAGTAACTGAATCTTCTGTAAAATTTATTGCAGTGACTATAAGGTATTAGAGTGAAGAAAAGTAGGGGTAAAACAAGCTGAGCTCCTCATGGGCAAAAGTCCCAAAACATTTGAAAGAAGTGGATGGGATATTGTTTCTCCTCTGTCAMTGAGTAAGGGGAAAAGACATTACATTGGCTTCTGCCATGACTTGCATTTAAAGTTGGCAAGCAGAGTGCTTCAGTGAGCTGGTTGTGGTATCTGCAGGAGTAGGGAAGGGAACAGGCTCTGCACTAATCTCCTTGTTATGAAAAGTTTTCCTAGGATTAATGGTTGACACGGAGGGTTTTGTAGTGATGTTTGGGTGTTACTACAGAAAGCTGATATGGTTTACTTTTCTAGAAGGCAATTCATTCAGCATTACTGCAAGTTACAGTAGGTTTGTTCCACCATGCTTTTAAACTAGTTTTAGTTAGCTGTAGGCATTTGGTATTCTGGTTGTAGTCTCTTGAAGAACTACATTAATTCATTTGATGAAACATGCAGATGTTGTCTTGAGGTAGATACAGAGTATTTTTCTAAAACAATTCAAAACATGCTGRGCTGCAAAACCCTAACAATAGYGGGAAATGATTAAAAAACTTTATGTGATATCATGTATTCTCTGAAAAATAAAAAGAGACATTTCTTTACTGCTAAGATTTAAGAATAACTTAGCCAGAAAAAAAAATGATGAAATCAATAAAATAATGGTTTACTACCTAAGTAAACATCAGGAATAGGCAAAACTATATTACTTAATATCACATGTACTTGTACTTCCATACTTGTGCTATTCATATTTGCCTTTCTAAACAGAAATGTTTRATTTTAACTCATTTGAACTGTTCTTTTTTTCTTTTTTTTTAGATTTTTGAGTTCAGATATGAAGCCTTAGGACACTAGGAGCAATTAGGGGAGCATTATATGACTATTTCTTTCTCCGTCTGATGTAGACAATTCCACTTGTAAAAATCCAGTCTCTCAATTTCCACAAATTCTGCCTGATCTTACAGATCTTAACTGTTCCAGAGAAAGGATGGTCCAGAAGATTGTATACTGCTAAGGTGCAATACGTTCAGGAAGAGGGAATGCCTGCTGCAAAACGCAAAATACCCACATACCAAATGAAAATCCAAAAATAAATCTTATGCAAGTCTTGCAGATGAGCAGAATAAAATCATTCTACTGCAAGTTTACCTAGTCCTGATTCTTAAATGCTAAACTAATCAATCTTTTGTGGGTACATAGCAATTAGTGATTTTCATTTTATCACATGCCAGAAAAACTGATATTCTCATTGAAAGCTTGTTCTCCTACCCAAAAGGAAAAACAAGCATTATCTTCTATTTTACTGGTATTCCATAAGTACTTCTAGTGGGCTTTGAMTTGAAGATTAACAAATGACTAGCAGGTCTCGTGTTACTGAGTCAGTCTTCATTTCAGATGGCATTCCATTAACTTTTGCTACCTAAGCTTGAGTCATTTCTCCCTAGTCATTCTGCTTGGAATAAAAAGGAAAAATCTTTGGTTTTCTGCTTCCTCGTTTAAAAATCCTTTCTGGTAGGAGGATCCTTGCAATTGATAGGTGGCTTGGGTGGAGATGCTTGTGTTTTGACCTTAGAAGGGYAAAATTATAAGGACATGTAATAAGAAATAACACATTTGAAGTTTTAAAGAGATGAGATTTGTTGTGACAACAAACCATTTAATCTTTCTAGAAGAGCAGAAATTTTTGTCCTTGAGTGTTTTAAACTAAAWCAGTGTTTCTAAGATTGTAATTAGCCTTGTTCGTGCCCAAACCTCTCTGTATGTTCTGGATGAAAGGCTTCAACAATATCATGTTTTGTCATATTGTTCTGAAATGTCTTTGTCAAAGCTAARCTTATTTGGACTACCTATCCATATTTTAAGAATGCTGAAAATGAAGGCTTTGGAAAAGAACTGTTTAAAGTGCTACCACAATAATCTATTTTCAGGATGAAGGCAGGTTTCAATCTTTTTATCTATTTCAAAATAGGTTAAAAGATGTTAAAGGATGTGGCCCGTAATTGTCCAGGAAGTAAAAAGGAGCTTATAATAGAAAACACTTCTGAAATCCACTAATAGGACTTGAGGCTGGCCAAGCTAAGACTGTGAAGAGCAGTGGTTTGTTTTTTTTGTTGGAATATTGGGAAGTCTGTGTCCTTCAGACCTACAAGTCATGATTGCCTTCCTAATGGTACTTAGGCATAATCTCAAGGTGTTATTGGATGTAGAAACTTTTTTTTTAAATTCACAGCCTTGTGCGTAGTTTTATTAGGCTGTTCTACTGACTGTGAGCTGACACACTGAAGTAAGGTATTGCATAAATAAATTCATTGTCTCTTCTGAGTCTACRTCTACTTAATGAAGGTGTGAGCAATGAAACCCTCTCTTCCTAAATGCTGRTAGCAGTTCTTGTTTGTAGAATATGAGATTTAGTCATTTAAGTGTGTAAGCTGCCTACTTCCTCTTGCTGTGTGAGCTATCAGGCCCTTGGCTGTCACCTGTGGTCTGCTAAATCTGACTGTCTCAGAGATGGGTATGGGGGGCATAACTATGGGCAGGTAATTTTCTCGAGTGRGATAACCTTTGAAAAGAGGAATGCCTGGCCTGTGTGTGTGTACTGTTCATTGCCACAGTGGCTTTGCTTAAACCTTGATTCCTGAACTGCATTTTTGCACAGCCTRAATGAAAAACATTTTGTTTGGGAGAGCTTCTTTGGAGGGAGAGGAGGAAATTAGAAAAAAAAAAAAAAAACCCTATGTCTTAGGACATATGTTTATATCTGAAGTCTGTTTTCATTAATTTACATTCCTGGACTGCAAGACCTCTGTAATACTGTTACTTTTCYCTCTCTCTCTCTGTAGCTTTATAAATCCTAGTTAAACGTCCTTCAGAGTTGGACACTTGAGGTTCTAAATATATCTAAAATGATTATAAAACTTTAAATTTTGAAGAATCATTGAAGCTTAAGTTTCAACTATTTGAAATAATAACAATTAGGCAGAACTCCTCATTTTTTCCTATACTGCKATCTTGCTTATAGTTGGAATGTAGGTGCCCTGAAGATGCATTTGTTAYTTACAGCCAGGCAGTAATCAGATATCCCTGCTGTAATGCCATACCCCCTGTTTGTAGGGTTTTTAAAAATTTTATCTGAAGTGCAGCACTCTTACAGCCTGTRCTACTATAATTTTGCAGTATGGGACAGTTGTACCTTGAGTTCYAGTGAGCAATTATCTTTTCCTTAATCCTTCTGCGAGGCTCTAGTGTACGGAGTCCATGTGTTACACCTTTAAGAGGCTCACCTGTGTTATACTTTAAGTTCCTCACACTGTATTAAAATATATAAAGATGGATATTTAGCCAGTTAAAGAGGGTAGCAGGCTTTTTTATAACTCACTTTGGGACACATCAGGGGTTCCTTTTTCCTTGTATGTGTTCGGTGTTGATCGGTGTCACCAAACATTCCTCTTACTGATGGGCTGCTGCCATTGGGGAGATGGAAGTGGGCTTAGAGGAGTGTGTGTGTAAGTACTATGACTTTCTACATCTGTAACCAGGGATCTATCCYCTGTGCATGGCAACATGAAGTTTGTTTTCCTTGCCAGATCAAAAACTCTTGAGATCATTAAGGGAAAAATGGCATAGTTGTTTTATGTTTTCTGTACAGATATTTTATGCCTACTGTTTCCACTGTAGATTAAAAATACAAAAATTATTTTAAAAGAGGATTTGTACTTGACATACTTTTTWAAGTTTGCTATGTGCCTGTCATGGATCTCTTAATGAACAAGTCTTAAGCTGTATTGGAGTATTGCTACAGAGCWGAGACAACAAAGTCTTTTAAAATAGTGCCAGTGTTATTTGCTGTATGCTTTTCTAAAACAAATGGAATTTTATGCTGTTGTTAAGGAGGATTATTTTTCTTTTGGTGGAAGATAAAAGTAACAGAATTTAATACAGATGTGTGTGATCCTTTTGTAAAATCAGATTTGATTTCATACAGAATTTTATATTTCCTCCCTYAAATTTCTAACATAGTCTGCATTCATCAACTTAAAAATACTGTGACTTGTCCTGGAATACCATAGCTCTTAAACAAGATCATCCTATTGGCTTGAGGTCTAAAATTTTGGGTAGAAGAGGATTATCTAATTTTTTTAAGAAGCAAAATGCACAGTATTTTAGGATAGTAATGTGCTCAAGTCTGGTTTCAGCTCTTTTAGAATATCTTGCATCTGTGAAAGTGACAGCACATTTCTGAAATTAATTTGGGGTCTGATTAAAAGTACTTGTGTGTACAATAAGTGGTTTTTGTTTTTTTTTTTGTTTTGTTTTTTGTTTTTTTTTTAATTTACAGACCATCTTTGCTGTGATTATGAAAAAAACAAAAACAACCAAAAAACCCCAAACCAGAAAAGCCACAACACATGATCCAGGCTCAGCTCTCCAAGTTGAGAGTAGCTGAATTCAGCAGATGTGGTTGCAAGTGGAATGRTCATGCTCCTCAATGAGAGGATTTAGCTGTCAGTGGTGTTTGTGATCCCTTTCACCATCAGACTGGCACAGCTCTCTTCCTTCAGCACACTCAAACAATCCTTGGCTATCACAGGGCAGCTGATGCCAGGGAAAGGCTGGTGCTGGGGTTTAAATAGTTSTACAAATAGAAGATTGCCCTTTTAGGTAGACCCAGCAAATTACRTAAATGCATTGATGTGTAATTGGACAATAAATCTGGGCTAAGCAGGGTTAAAAGTGYCTATTCCCAAGAGTCCTGCTGGAAAGATCTATTGAAGAGCATCTCCTGTCATGGGGGAAGCTGCCTTTAGCTACTCTCCACCAGAGAAAATTCTGTGATGGGATATATGCCAGAGAGTGATGGGCTACGCCTCAGTGAACAGACTGAACAGACATCGGTGTGAGCACACTGGTACCTGGTGACACTGGGGAAAGATGGCCCTGTAAACTGATACTTGCCACTGTCTGACACTCCCTGTCTGTGGCCTACACCTGCAACTCAGAGTACACATCTGGATTAGAATTTGAAGGTACAGAAAAAAACCACTGTCCAGATGACTTTAATAAATAGTAATCCATAAATTAATCCACACATTATTTAAAAAAAATTATGTGAGTGAGAATTCAGTATGAATACCTTACATGGAATATTGAGTAAAGAGTATTTTTTGTCCTTATATGCCTTTCCTTTCTGTAAGATTGTTGCAGTAACATGGAGAAACCTGACTGTCCAGTAGTGGTCTTACTTCATTAAAAGTACTTGTGGATTTTGCTCCATTTGAAAGTGGCTATACCTGGAGTCTTTACCCATCACTGCCATTTGTGCTAATCTGTCTTTAAGGACACTGAGGGGAGGGACATCTCTTGGGTCAAATTGTTTCGTAAGTCCTGGTGGTAGAAGTCGGTTGCAGTATTGATTTAGATCACACTGAAACTAGATCATCCTTTGGTAACTCTGTGGAAGATAAAAAGTTTTTGGAGAAGATGAGGGAAGGAGGTGTCTGCATCTTTCTTCCAATAAAGCAAGGCAGAGCTCTTCAGGTTGCCGCCACCTGAAGCCAGCCTGAATGGGGCAGCATCTGCTGCATGTGTTTACACTGTGCACTCTGCAATTTCCAGGTCTTTTCTTGTAGTGGTCCAAACTGATAAACAGCTACCTCTCTGGCAGTAAATTCAAAGTATCAGAGCACTCTGGTCATGGGATGTGACCTGGCCACGCAGAAATGGATATTATTGTGTTTCTCCAGTCATTTAATTACTTTTTGTGTGTCTGGTAAAAGAAGCATTCTAACTTCAGGGCAGTATACTCTGAAGAGGGAAAATGGTCGTTTGCTGTGGAGATTTACAGGGATAAAAACAAATCAAGGCCAACATTCACCTAAATCATAGGAGGTCATCTTTAGTCTCTTAGTTTCTTGTATCTTCTTAGCTGTCTCAATTTGATTTCAGGCTACTAATATTCACGTTGTGTTATGTTTTCAGGAGAAAGGCTTAGGGATGCTTTAAAGGGAAGCTTAACTGWAACAACTGAGTATAAAGAGACCATGTAAGGATCTTCCAGGTGCAGGAGTTCGTTGTAAAGGTTCTGCAAACAGGTTTTTTAAATTGATGGCTGTCTTATATTACCCTAAGAGGCATTTCCTGCACAGCAGAGTTCCTGCTGCATTTCAGTTTCCTAAATCAGCCCTGAAGCAGTGCTTTTTCCCAAGTCCCAGTGTGGAAGCTTTTGGAGAGCATGCTGCAACTGGTACTGCTCTTATGGGCACCAGGTAAGTGCAATTTGCCTGTGACTGCACCAGGACAGGCCACCAGCTCTGGCTGCTGAGCAGCACTGCTGTCCGACGGAAACAACAGTGGCAAAACCAGAAACAAAAGCTTTGGTGCCTTCTGTAGTGGTTTAGTGATCTAACAAAGTGGCTGCTGGAAGCAAAAGGATGGAATTTTTTTTCCAGTTACTTCATATACACTTACCAGGAGAAATTGCCCTGGATTTAATAGCATTGAATAGATCATACTCTCAGGATTGGGCCTTGTAGTGCTGATACTGGCAAAGCATCCACTGACTTTTATTTTTCAAAGCATTACTTGACCTTTACTTTTGAACAGAATTTTTTCTGTTCACTGAATTTGGGGCATAGGTGGCACAGCTCTATCTGCTCGGACCAAAAGTTCTTGGAAAAACAGCAGCTTGCCTCTCTCCCCACTCTCTCCACACATTTTTGTCCATGTGAGCAGATTTAAATACTTTGTTTTTGGACATTCAGGCCTCTGATACATGTGTAAACACTTCTCTTGATGTCTTCTTCTGATATGTTCCACAATTACTTTCTGCCATCAAAGAGATGCATTTTTATAGGTTCTGCAAAGGCCAAGGCATGAAWTAACACAGAATTCTTTTTGTTGTTGGGCTGTGAATACTTAGGAACTCTAGATTTGCAGGGGAAAATCCAGAGCAGATGTAGACTGTACAGTCACACAAAGTCTGTTTTGAAAGAGCTTACACATTTCTGCATCTTTCATGTGATGTATTACACAGGCACATAGTGGTTTTCTGTCTAATCCTGCTTGGCTGTCCCTGGTTATGCTCTGGAGGAAGCCTGCCTGCTGTTCCATAAARAAATGAAGGCACAGTGGGAAGACTTGCTGCTGCTTCTACTTTGATCCTGCAGGGATAAGCTGTTGAACACTGTGAAGTCTGACATGAAGCTAGGCTGCAAAGCAGTGTAGATTGAGCCACCGCTCCCTCTGCTCTACTGCCTCCATCCATCGGTTCTGTCTTGTCCTGCAGGTAACATCTCCAGGTCAAGGCCCATATCTTTGTCCTGTGCAGGTGAAGCATCAAGCATGGTGACTCTCTGTGACCAGAGGACTGATATATAAATGTAATGAGTAGTAGTGTTAGCAGTGAGTAACCAGTGGATCCAGGYACTCAAACAACTTGTTTGCTCTTTTGACCTCTAAATATTTCTGTCCTCCTCCTTATGACATTTTCCCTTTTCATCTGTTTTTTTTTTTACTACTGAAGTACCTTTATCTTGCTCATAGTGCTCATACCAGAGCAAAATGTTACGTCAATCAGTGCTATGTCTCTGTGAGCACTTTATGAAATTAATGCTAATGCACGAGTTGAGGAATGGGCCTTGGGGCATCAATTAAATCCTGCAAGATTCTTTTCCCCTGATCTTAGTTGCAATGTTCCTTAAGCCATTGGTTTATCAAAGAAGCCAGTTTTACTAGCTTGAAATGTTTCAAAAATGCCTGTGTAACTGTCCAGCTTGTGATTTCAAGTCTCTGTCCCTAGATGTCACTGGAAGACAGCATATGCTGAAAATAGTAACTGAAACCAGGAGAAATTACTGCAGCACTTAGATAGAGGGATGTGGAAGTCAAGATTTTGTAAAATTTTCAGCTATGGAAAATTTTTCATAGAATTTGCAGGCATGTCCCATATGAAAGTGTTCCCCAGATTTCCTCTGAAAATCTGTCCTTAGGTGCATCTCTTCTGTATGGCTGCTGCACATCACTGATGACCCCTAGCTCAGTTCAGGAGTACCACAGAGCCCTGTGCAAGAGATGTGAGGAAGAGTCCCAGTGCACCACTTCAGAGAGAAGAAAGAAACCTACRGGCAGAGGCAGGAAACAACACCTATGGCTTCATAACAGGCGAAAGTCAGTTGATGGCAAAGTGCTCCAGAAAGAGGCAGATCTGCCTTAGCCCATCTCCAGTTACCACCTCAGTGCTGCCCCTGCTCAGACAGCAAGCCAGTGCTGAGGGGTGAATCATCAGTAAATTATTTGCTTTTGGAGCTGAAACAGTCAGTCCTTGTCCACTTGGTTCTCTGCAGGCTGAGAGAAGAGATGGTCTGGGGTTTCGTGGAACAAGGTGGAGGAGAAGAGCTCAGTGCATGTGTGTATGGAGGCAACGAGAGTGACTGTATGCCAGACCCAGCTATTTGCAGGAAAGAGTTGTGAGGATCTAGCCATTCAAAAACATGGGAGAATTCAAASGGAGAACCTTTAGGAATCATGTGTTTGTACAGATGAGGGTCCTCTCCAGTGCCACTCCACACTGGCTGGTCCCATAAGGGTGATTGAGTGAATCTGGATAAGGACAATGTCTGGGGACCTTGGTATRTTCCCATACCACAGCTGTAAGARTTAGAAGCAGCCTATTAGAGATGGGCTCCTCAAATACTCCCAGCCTGGGAATTTCAGTGGAATTTTTTTTTTCACAAAAGGAGGCTGAAACAAGTTTTTAACATCTATAGGATCAAAACTATAACTGACTTTTAATAAAACTCTTATAGAACAGAAAAATGCTCTGATTTGGTGAATACCCCTAGGACTTTTGCTAAGAAAAGATAAAAGTTGTCACCACATGATCTTTAAGGAAGTAAATTCCTTCCTGAGTTGAAATTGTACAAAGTGTGAAGTGTATTCAGTG